ACAAGACCGTAATGCTGCTTCCAAAAAAACAAGAAAACTGTTAACATAAAAAATTAAAACAGTTCTTATATCTTAATCATTTGTACAATTTAATTTACAATTTACAAAAATAAACCTTATTTAGTTATACATAGGTCAACACAAACGCATTTCCAAAACAAAAAACAAAAAAATCAAAAACACCTCAAAATACTGAAAGCAAGAAAGCAAGATCAAAATACTTAAGCTGCTGTCATAATGCAATCATACACTCCTCACTAAGGATGGTTGCAATAAAATAAGATACTTGAAATTTTTTGTGTTTAAATATGGTTTCAATCAAAAATATACGGACAACAGATGCAGCAAACGTAAGTACTTAATACTTATTACAATGATCCCCGTGCCATATGATTTCCATGTGTTTCTGGAAGGACATTTTTTAGGTACACTGACGAAACGGCCGACAATCAAAAATGATAAAATAAAAATATAAAAAAAAAAAAAATGAAAAAAATAAAACAAACCCAAATGAGGCAGTTAAAATTAAAAAAAATATTTGAACAAAATATACTGTCCTTCAATAATAACTTAAGACCTGGCCTGCTTCAAACTCTTTCATATGGTAAACAAATTTATGAATAACATCATACTCGAATCAAGTATTAAATGTGTGAATTATATCAGATCTAGGTTATATAACCATGACACAACAACCAAATGACACAAACGAATCAAAAGAATCTAATGATCAATATATGGTCTTCAATATTAAGCAAATGTTTATACAAGATGTCAAAGCTTTTAATCGATCAGAATCTAAAAGGGATGTGAAAATGTTTCTAACATACAGTATCAAAGATCTCTAATAAATATCAAATTCATGAAATTACAAAAATACTGAAATTAAACAAAAAGTAAAATAACAAAAATACGGAACTCTAAGGAAAATTCAAAACGGAAAGTCCCTTATCAAATGGCAAAATCAAAAGCTTAAACACATCAAACGAACAGAAAACAACTGTCATATTCCTGATTTGGTACAGACATTTCTTTATGTAAATAAAAACAGAATGTGTCTGAGGACAGCAATGCCCCTGCTCAAGCTTGCTTATAATAGGTGAAAATTCTTTTTGAGCGCATTTGATGTCACTGCTGATTTTTAAAGAGTTCCATTGTTCTAGTCTTAGGTATTTTTTGTGCTGTGTATTATTTCATATTTCTACTGTTTTGGTTTATTTCTTATGTAATAAGTTTTCTGATAAATTATGTTGTTTCCATCTGAAAAGAAAAAAAAAGCAATTTTCCAAGTTATAAAGGGGCATACTTCTGAAACAGCAAGTGACTCACTGCCCAATTCAACTCTGTCTATGAGTTTTAGTTCTCATCATTGTGTATGAGTTTCATGAAATTTGCATGAGGCAAACTTAAGTTATCTGCAATTTTCCAAGTTATAAAAGTGCATAACTCTAGCACGGTAAGTGACTCACTGCCCAAATTCAAACTCTGTCTGCGAGTTTTGAGTTTCATAAAATATGGATGAGGAAATCTTGAGTGCGGAAACGAAAATGGGACAGAAGGATGGACTGACAGAAAGACAGACAGTCAAGGTTAACACTTTAAATTCCAATAAAGATTTAGAATACCCGGTACTTATAACATATTTGCTTTTCCAAAAATTAATCAAATAAGACATATAAAAATAAAGTACAGGTACAAAAGAGAAACTTAGTAAAGATAAATAGGAAATGTGTCCATGGGACACAGATGATGCCCCTGCTTGCATATCATATTAAGTTATAAAGGGACATAACTGAAGAACGGTAAAATTGACGCTACCCAAATTTGTCCTTGATCTGAGTTTTGTGGTAATGAGTATTGTGTATAAGTTTCATAACATTTGGTTGAGGCAAACTAAAGTTAGAGAACGGAAACGAAAAATTCAGCAATTTTTATGTTTATAAAGGGCATAACTCAAGAACAGTAAAAGTGACGCCACCCAATTTTCAACTTGATCTGTATTATGTGGTAATAAGCATTGTGTATAATTTCATAACATTTGGTTGAGGCAAACTAAAGTTAGAGAATGGAAACAAAATATTCAGCAGTTTTTATGTTTGTAAAGAAATAAAGAACGGCAAAAGTGACGCCACCCAACTTCGAATTTGATCTGTATTGTGTAGTAATAAGCATTGTGTATAAGTTTCATAACATTTGGTTGAGGCAAACTAAAGTTAGAGAACGGAAACGAAAAACTCAGCAATGTTTATGTTTATAAAGGGGCATAACTCAAGAACCGTTATCGTGGCGGCACCCAATTTCAAACTTGATCTGTGTCTTGTGGTAATAAGCATTGTGTATAAGTTTCATAACAATTGGTAGAGGCAAACTAAAGTTAGAGAACGGAAACCAACTTTGGGACGTACGGGCGTACGGACGGACGTACGTACGTACAGACGGACAAGGGTAAAACTTAATGCCGGGAGCATAAAAAAAAGATACCTATTGGTAAGCTGTATGCACATGAATGTGTGGCATGGTCAGACTAGTATGTTGAGGTCTCAAATCTCACCCTTTGCATTGCTATATCAGTGAAATAACAAAAGGTAAAATTTTAATCAGAACAGAAAAAAATAATGACAATAAATACTTACAGTTTAAGTATGTCTGTTTGGGTCGCTCACTCAATTTTGTCAATATAAAGGATAAACAGCTGTCATTCAAGTTGAAGGTTATGCTAGCTATACAACCAGATTTTACCCACCATTTTCTTTAAAAAAATGCCTGTGCTTAGTCAGAAATATGACAGTTGTTTACCCTTTGTTTCGTAGGTAGATATAGTTGAGCATTTGGTTTTTTCAGCTTTCATGGACTTCTTCTTCGTTTGATACACTACAATGACTTTTGATATCAATCTTAAACACATTCACAATAAATGTTGGGTCAATGGCATGTTAAATAAACGCCATCTCAAACTTAAATGGAAAAATTGAACTAGTAGATTTGTTAATTGTCAAGTCTTTTTAGATAAAACATTTATCTTTATAGTTTGTTTATTTATAAATTAGCTGATTACAAAACTTTGAATATTCGAACACTAAGGATGTTTTACCCAAAGAATAGATAACCTTAGCTGTATTTGGCAAAACCTTTCAGAATTTTGGTCCACAATGCTCTTCAACTTCCTTATTTAATTGGCCTTTTTTTATAAGAACGTCACAGATGAGGCTGTTTAAGACGAAATGCGCGTCTGGAGTATGTTAAATAATGACTAGGACATGTTGACATAATAAAACTATATTTATTAATCTTCTATACAGGAGAGTCTCATATAACATAACAATAAAGTCCGGATGGTATCCGGTTAAGATATGTGAATATTACGGTATGTGACATCCCCCTTTTTCTAAAAGATGAAATGAAATGATTAAATGAATGAATGAATAAATGAATTTTAGTAATACCCAGCTGAAATTAATACTGAAATTGTTTTGACTAGATATTAACGCTGACTACATTAAAGTCTCTTTTCCAATTTAACCTTAAGTCTATATATTGTCTTTTCTGATAACTAAATAAAACTAACTAAAAGCTTCCTAGCAACTACTTGAGAGTTCAAAAGGAATTATTTGACATAATCATTTATCTTGGTTGGCTCTTTTACTGTTTTTCCAGATCTTGTCACGGGTTACTTAGACGGTTCAATACTTTCATCTTCCTCGGACACAATAGTTTCACTGTGGTCTAATGTTTGTGAAGTGCTATAGACAGTTGAAGTTTTACCGACGGTTGTATTGTGATTGTTCTTGTAATGTTCGTATTTAACTGTGTTTTACGGTGAGCTGTTGGTCTTATATGCCTTCTGTTTTGTCTATAACGTCTGCCATCTGACATTTGCACTACATACGAGCGAGGAGTGTGAATTCGATTTGGAAACTGGTATTTACAGTGATAGACAAAGAAAGCGCCAGACCACTGACATACTTCGTGTGTAGCAGGGTCTGCTTACCCTTCCGGAACACCTGAGATCCCCTGGGGTTCATGTTGCGCAGTCTTTAGTTTTCTATGTTGTGTTTTGTGTACTGTTGTTTTGTCTGTTTGTCTTTTTCCTTTTTAGCCATGGCGTCGTCAGTTTATTTTCGACTTTGAGTATCTCTTTGGAATCTTTCGCCTCTCTATTTCGTAAAACCAGTCTATGACATTTCATTAAAAATGTAGTAATTCTGGTCTGAAATCTTGATAGAATTACCCATTAATGGAAATATCACATTTATTCCAATAGAAAAAAACTAATATTGAAGTAAATTGATAGAATTTAAAGTTGTACATTATAAAGCAGAATGCCTTATATGTATTGAACACAGTAAGAAAATATTTGATTCGTTTGTAGCAAATCAAACGGAATACCATGTATACTGTTATATTAGCATTTAGAAAGTAATAAAATGTTTTATTTATTGACTGGAAGTTATTTGGTCTGATGTTTATTCAAAAGGATTGGATAGAATTATGCGAGACGATTTTTCACACCAGCATTACCGCATTAAGTAACAAGAATTTATCTTTAAACAAAGTCACAGGATTGTCGATACAATGATGATTTGAATAAATAAAAAGTGCCATTAGACCATTATCGTTCTCAAGTATTAATCGTGTGCTGAATACCTTTCTTAAATGAGAGATATATATAATGGTTGTAAAGCAATTTGTAGCAACACATTTGCATAGTTAAAGCATCTATAATTCATATCTTGTAATGCGATAGTCATCATAGACAAATTATACGTCTCTATATCGCAAAATTGTTGTAAACGTTATAGTAAGCGGTAATTGAGGAAAATTTTTATTGTGAAAAAATCTTGATCTGTAAATCAAAAATCATTTGCCCAAAGGATATTGGACATGTTATTGTCGGAAACGGTACAGCGGTTTATTTTTATTGTAAAAGGGCGTAACATGACACAACCATGTACTATAATTGCTGAGAAAACAAATCGAAATCAACTAAATTCCAACAAAATCGTTATGTTAATAAATAATAATTAGACAACACTGAACTCCTGTCTTTATATTTTGCAGAAAACAAATGGATTGACAAATTGATTTGTCCTTTTATCATCTCAATCGTGTAAGGTAAGATAATTTTGTTATATTTTTTTCTTTTTCTTATTTTTTTTCAAATTTTCTAATTCCTTACCACATACATGGGCATTATCTGATTAACGTACTGTCAATTTGTAGTTCTTGTCAAAAGCAAGTGAAACGAATTCCGATAGCAAAGGATATTCAAAATAATATTGCTTTCGACGAATGAAATGACAAATAATAATAAAGTGTATCACTCTTTTAAATTCTCCAATGTAAACACTAAATTTGACACGATCATTTTGCGGAGATTTTCATTTATACGGAAATTGTTTTATTTAAATCTGCTGTTATACAATTTCGAATTCACTTGAAATTAAGGAATGTATCTCCTTTGTGCATATGTCTTATTCGATGTCCAGGTTAAGCATTTATTTTTGACCCTGTAATCAGTCCTTTAACGTTTGTATTAGATTTTTGACTGTCAAATATTTTGACCACGAGCATCACTGAAGAGACATTAATGTCAAAATGTGCATCTCGTTAATTAAAACTGGTACCGCTCATGTTATTATGAAACAGGATTTGCTTAAAAACTAAAACAGTTTAAAGACAAAAGGAAGAACAAAACAAAAACGTAGGTAATTGTTGATCTGATCTCACATGTTCCATGCGCGCAAGCAGTTTCATCCACACATGCAGCACGCGTAGGTGTACTCACGAGAAAACCCTATTATAAATGATGCTTCATAAAAAGGGTTGCATTGCAACTATGGTTATAGTAAATCACACATTATCATCTGTGCTATCAGTGTTCAACCAAGTACACACATGATAATAAGTTTTATAAAATTACTTAGACAGGAACATTTTTAAATCATTTTTCAACATTAATAAATATTTTAATTGACTAAAACCCTGAGTTCTGTAAAACAAATGCAAAAGTTATTACGGCTTTTGAATATATTAAAAAAGGGAAGATTCTTATTTTGACCTTATTTTGTATATAACCTGCTTTGAATTACAATTTTAATATCATAAAAGGTAAACACGAATATCTGAAATACATGTACTTAGCTCGTTCGCATTTCAGACTATATGCCCACTGGTCACATTATCAGGCGCAAATGTTAGACACAATTTATTTTGTTAAATATTTGGACTTGAATAAACAAATTTGATATATGAACATTGTTGGCAAAATGTCAAAAATATTACCGTTAACATAAAATGACCTTAATTCATTACTAAACACTCACTAAGATGAGTTAACCATTAATTTGGTACTTGCAAACTGCAAGCACACTCCAGACGTTATCTTTTGCAAACGTCAATGAATTAGTTTGATAATTATGTATCATAGAATATTTCATTCTACACTGACCACTAATTATCTACATTTTGTAAAGAAACTCCAAATTCATTATTTAAAAAAAGAGTTGTGTGTTTATAATTATTGGCGCCACATTTCATCTTAAATTATGCACGTTTAATAATTATATGAGTAAAACGTTTGCGTCATTCTATCGATATAGCATTGGTATGAAAGACAAGAATGTTACGCTTCATCTTTGTTTTGAATGACACATTGCTTATTTTCTATTTTATACCTTATTGTCCTTCTCTATGTCAAAATATAAACTAATAATTTAATTTTGGATGTAACGCGACTTCTGATTGGCTGACAGTGTTTTGTCTATCAACTCATAGACATAATTTTGTCATGTGACCGTGACGTCATCAACGTTTTTTTAGGAGTTACTCCGGCTTTTTAGAATTTTTTAGAATTAAATTAAAAGGAATGACTGTAATATTTTTCTGTCTATTCAAAATAACATAAAAAATGTGGTGCACACTTTAAAATAACACGCTACGCGGGTTATTCAGTGTGCACCACATTTTTGATGTTATTTCTTCATAGACAGAAAAAAATTACAGTCATTTCTTAAATAACAAAACCAAAATCAGCAAACAAATTGATACTTTATATTATATGCCTGTTTCTCAAATATTTTTATTTTATCTTCTCATTTACAATCATGGAAATAACACTGTAACATTTATAGTTGAAAATGTGTATTTATTAATTCCATCAGGTTAGATATATATCAAAAGATATATCATGTTATCGTTCAATTGAGTAGGATACAGAATTCATTGCTAAAGTGTCTCTTGAATAACCATGAAGTACGCCGCTCAGCTAAACATTACTGATAACCTGCCATAATTTTGAACAAAAAGATGACTTTTTAAATTTAGATTAAGAATGTCTGCTAATAAACTCTATCTATGCTATCTTTATAGCGAGTTGTCATCAACATAGTCGTCGAAATTATTCAGTGAGAGGACATATCTTGTAAAGCGCATCGCGAAGTAAGATGATGATTTTGGTCAGCACTTCGGTGTTGACATGAATTAGCATTGATATGAGCATAATTATAAATTAACTGTTTACAAAACTTTGAATTTTTTTCCAAATACTATGGATTTTCTACCGATTATTTTTTAGCTTTATTTGGCAAAACTTTTCGGAATATTGGGTTCTCAATGCTCTTCATCTTTGTACTGTATTTGACCTTTTGAACTTTTTGATTTGAGTATCACTGATGACTCTTTTGTACATGAAACGCGCGTGTGGCGTACACAATTTTAATCCTGGTATCTACAATTAGTTCATTTAGGTCATTTTTATTCCTCTTCAGAACCCCTGTATGGAGTCTGTTTCATATGTGGTGTTTTTGTAAGTGTTTTGTAAGCTAAAAGAATAAACAAATATTTTTCTAGAACTTAATAATTTTACAGGCGCTGGCATTGCATGACTTGTATATATTCTGGATTATTAAGATCTTTGCTACGATTAAGTGAAAATACTTATACAGGAGATTGAGCTTGTGATGGTTTAAGAATTTCAAATGTAATTTTTATGAATATAGTAATATGTTTTATTGCTCCCACTTGCGACTAAAAAAATCCAGAACAATATTCCGTATCGAATATCGGGAACAGTGATGTGTAATATATAACAATAATGTCATACTTAATCATTCCCCCAGATTACTACTGTTTGCTTTAATAATGAAATAATAACCAAATGTTTACTTAAGTAATCCGAAATGCGTCCAAGATCAGTTCAAATCAATAATTTCTTTGTTTACATGTACACTACAAGATTGACATTAACTTGTGTCATAAATATGAAAAAAAATTTGGTATAATCATGATAATTTAAAAGAACCATACAGATTGACATAGCAAAAGGAGTTTACAGATTAGATTTTAAAAAAGAAGACGTAGGAAATGTTGATATATCTATTAGAATAAACATGACACGAAGGAGATAATTACAAAGAAACATCAACTAAACGAACATGACGAAAGCAGGTGTACAAAAGAGTACATTAAACCTAGAACTATAAATTGGGCAAATAGATTTAATTGATAACTCTAATGAATAATACACGTATCGGCTATTCTGGAAGTGTTATCAGATACAACATCATTCTGTACTGTACGGGTTCTACAAATTCTTTTAAAATAATCTGAATTTGTCAAGGGAATTTCTATTTCATTGGTCAGGAAATACAGAACAACATGAACAAATGGTTTCCGTACGCCTAATTATAGAGAACTAAATTCCGACAGCATCTGTGAATGTACCAGGATTTGAGTTTTGTTAATGATCATTTGAATAGAAATCTGCAAAGAAACTATTGAACCCTGGGATCTTAGTGAAAAGTTGAAATCATATCTTCAGAATTTCTATAACATCATCATGACTTGATTGACCGTTATGAAATATCTTTGTTACAGAATACACGAATATATTCTATTTGTCGTATCCACAAACGCGTCATTCATCCCTTATTTATAACATCAACTTATTCGATTCATCACAGTAATTTGACTTGTCATGTGTAATACGAAAAATTTCAAAAAACTTGAACCACACACTTTATCGGAAAAACTTCATTGGATATATAGCAGTTTGACACACACTAATTTTGATCATTGAGAAGCTTAATATTTCCTTAACAATAGAACGTGATTAAAACGTTCAGCTGATGTTTACAGAGTTATCTCCCTGTAGTATTATGTACCACCTTAAGTGGGGTTCATTTTGGTCAAGCTTAAGTTTTCTATGTAGTGCGACTGTTTTGCAGTTTGTCCTTTTTGTTGTAGCTTTGTTTGTCTTCGACTAATGGGGTTTATTGCCCCATTAGTATTGTATTTCATTATCTGCTCGTTTATTATATTACCATGCAATGTTGTAATGACATGTGTAACCTTGATGTTTAATTGTGATGTACAATTACATTAGCACGATGTATAAAATGTGTATTCTCTTCGTTTATCCATGCGTGTTTCATAACATCATGCTTTTGAATATTCAAGTTATCAATCATAAATTTTAAAAAATCGCTACCTAAAGCTCATTAATTTACACTTAAGGTATATGCTGAGAAAGTACTTTCAATCATGTTTTCAACGATTTTTTAACCTTTATTTCCAATTAAACTTTAACATTCTGTTGTTTATTATGCTTGTATAAATTGCTGCTCTCGTGCAATATTATAAAACATTGAATATTCTTTTTTTCTAGACAGTCATTCCTCATTCTAAATTTAAGACAAATTGAAAGATAAGTCCAATATTGTTTCATGAAAGAAAAAAGAAAGGCAACGGAGTTAACGATATCTTGTTTTAGGTAGGGACTAATTCTATTAAAAACGCTGTCCAATCAAAGTGTTTTCTGAAACTGACGTCATCAAGAATCACCGTGTTTTATTGACAGCATTTAGCATTAATGTGGGAACCAGATGTGGTCCATTTTTTGTAGCTTGTTCCCTAATTCTTATGTGGGAGACTTCAACCAAGAACTTGATATGGGCTTGTTGCTTACAAGGAAACTCTTGCACCAAGGATTACAAAGGGTGTCACAAGCTTTAAGAAGGCCATCATAATTAGTTGACTGTTACGAACAATTTGTGCAACAGATGATCATGGAATGTTCAAATTATCTTAGCCACAATCCTATTGTATTCTCGTTAGTTACAACACAAAATGCTTCTTTTAATCCAATTTTACTTGCAAGCATGATGTATTTCAACGTAGGAGCAGAAACTGCTTAAACTTCTGGAGCACCTGAGTTAAACCACGTTTGTTATTAGGGTAATCTTAGTTTTCTATGAAAAATGTGGTGTAGATTGTTGTTCGTCTTTTCGTCGTTTTTCTCTTTCTCCCTGATATTGTCGTTTTTGTCGACTCGTTCTTTTTTATTGCCCCCTTGGTATGATCTCCCTCTTTTTGTTTCTCAATAAAACTATGTGAGAAAACAGTATGGAAGAAAGTTTCATGAAAAAATACTTGACAAACAGGTGCAAGTCTTCGTGTAAAAATCCAATTATAGGGTTACATGAATGATAAAATGATAAGTGTTTCATGCAAAGAAATCGCATTAACAAAATGTCCCATGCTGATAACATTTGGTTTGATTGATGATTATCAAATGCAAATAGCAAGAATACAATATGTTGTCAAACGTTTTTATAATTTACAAATAGACTGTAATATAGTTGCAAATGCATAAAGTCGTTATCAAATGAGCATGGTGATACATTGTATAATAAGTAAATCTGGTATCACGTTTCAGGCAGAAATTTTAGAGAGAAAAGTAAATACTATTGAAATGAAATGTTTGTCCTGTTCATGTCTCTTTTGTAGGCCCACCTGTTTTAGTTATTGTTAAACATACATACATTTATAAAAAAAAAAAAGAAGAAATAAAATTGAGAATGGAAATGGGGAATGTATTATGTTAATGCGATTTCTTTGCATGAAACACTTATCATTTTATCATTCATGTAACCCTATAATTGGATTTTTACACGAAGACTTGCACCTGTTTGTCAAGTATTTTTTCATGAAACTTTCTTCCATACTGTTTTCTCACATAGTTTTATTGAGAAACAAAAAGAGGGAGATCATACCAAGGGGGCATAAATAATGCATGGACTCGATAAATTGTATCAGCATTTCGTAAGTATCTTAGTCTAGATGCCATCTTATTAACCATCGAGATGACCTCCGAAGACTACCGGTGGTCATATAACCTGATATAAACATAGATATAAATATAAATAGATAACGAGCACTTGCAATTAAATTTTTCTAGATGTTTGATTTCATGTTTAAGGTTAAACAACTGAGGCCACACTGACTGCTTGTAATGAAATAATAAGTTAAAATTCCGCTTTTATTAATACTTGCAACAAAAAAAATCGTATATATTTTTTTGTTTGAATCGATGCTAATGCACCTTTAAGGATAAACTTCTTACTTAATATCTTACATAATATCTAAATACATTTTCTCTTCATGTTGTGCCTGTGTATCTTGTCTGTCAGATAAAGCAATAAGAACAACGAATACTTGTTCAATGTCTCCTACTGTTTGTTGAAATTAATTTTACATTTGGTATTTGGTGAAATCAAGTTGATTTGTCTTAGCTATTCACCAATAGATGAGCAATAATGCTCCTACTAGTTTTGAAAGACATGTATAGATACATGTACATGAATACTTGATGAGCTATACTACTTTCAAACAAATGGCTAAATACATCTATGGTCAACTCTGTCCGAGGGAATTTGACCTTAGTATCCTAATAATTTTAATATCTTTCACCTCTATTTGATAAACGGAGAATTAGGTAAAGTATGTTAAAATCATGTCAGCACAGAAATTGTACAAGTTTTATTGATATGGAAAAAAAAATCAAAAAAGATGCAAAACAATGATGTAGCTTTCTGTATGAAGATTGACCTTATCGCTATTTTGAAATCTGCGCCGCTTGACCCGAGAATCTGCGCCTCTTGAACTTTTGACGTCATACAACAATCACTTTCTATTGTGACGTCAGATATTTTGTATTGTGACGTCAAAATTTTACGGGAACCTTTGTGATGTCCAGTTATGACGGACAAATAGCGATAAGGTGTATTTCAAACAAACACACATCAGGAGCTTCGAGCGATATGTTTAGTTTGTTCTTTTGAATCTTTTAAGAATTCAAATGTCTTCTAACTGAAACTAGTCATACTTCTTTTAATACTAAGTTACGAATTTTTGCCATCAATTGCACGAAGTACCCTACTGTGCACTGAATATAACAAGATATTTTTGGCGTTGAAAATTTCTAAGCATTTTGTTTTATAAAAGGGAATTGAAGATGATCCTTCAAACTTTTAACCTGCTTTTTTAATAATGAATTGCATTAACAGTTACAAAATTTCCTCTTTCAATGATTTCACCATTTGTTCCTCAAACATTTATTTTATCGAAATAAGGTCTTCCTCAATTCCATGTTTATCAGGGGTATATGAATTCAGCTTTTTTATATAACTGGTTTTCAGTAGCAGAAAGAATGATTTTGATTTTAATATTATTTTCTTTTGCTATGATATATTCCCGATAAACGATAAAGCAGATATGTTAGCTTTCAAATCTTTTTTTATAATTTCCGTGACTCGTCTTTGTAAGATTTCCTTGTTTATTCAACATACTTCAGATTTATAGTCTATCACCTTCTTTAATATATATATATATATGTGTGTTCTTTAAGTCCCAAGCCCTATGCTTTCAAGCATTTACAGATTTTTTTCTCATATTTGTGTAGCATACGATGTTATTAGTTCTGTGCTAAAACTGAGGTTACAACTTACTCAGGTAAAGTTCCGTTTAGGTCTGTTTTAGTTTTTATACTTCATGAAATGTTTTTTGTCTTTTATTTATTTTTTTTTTTGGAGCGAACCTGTATAAGAATATTCCAATGGCAGATGTGTTTTGCACGGAAAACATATATGTTTTTTTATGCCCACAATTTTAATGAGAGATAAATTATAACTTTATTAATAACGTGCGTCCAAATCGTTTTTCTTGATTTACCTTCATCAGGAACACTCACAACCAAACACTTGAAAGCCACAGATATGTGGAGTTTTATGAAAGCTGACCCACAAATAGTCAAATTCATTTAAGATCAACTTTGACTGAGAGATTTAGAACCTTGGTTTCTTAAGCACTGCTTAATTAACGGAGAGTTCATATTTTATGTTAATAGATATACGATGCAGGGAGATGATCTGTTGTGCACAATCGTTTTTCCTTCTGTAAAAATGGAAAATATTTTTTTACGAACACATTAATAAAAAACGAATGCTAACATAAAGGTAGATTTTAAAGATATCAATCGTTGGAAACTCATAAATCATTTTTAGGTTTTCAAAATTATTTCGCTTGATAACGATGCATTTCCATGATGGTCTTGATAACAAAACATCCAAATTGATAACTATGCAATGCTTCTAAATTACAAGTGTTAAAAGTAGCATGCTGACATTCCTTATGCTGATTGATGTTCAAGTTACGAATATATTTGAATTTAAAAATAATTATGCGTATAACAAGATAAGTCATTGGACTTGAAAATCGATCACTGTATTGTAATTGGTTTAGATGGCGGTTATGTATAACAGACTGTGTAATCGTTTCATTAAATGCTTTGGGTTTGCTAATAGAATCATTTGTATCAAATATATGTGGACAGCTATAAATGATGCTCATTATAATGTAAGATCGAAAAAGGCATGCGTAGTGTATTTTGAATGCTCATAGCAACTTTGTTATTTTCGTGTCTTTTGAAAAGCATGCATAGAAATTAGAAAAAAAACTATCAATTTAGAAATTAAGTTTTGATAATTGTTGTGAAATAAACAAAATTATTTCAATTTTCATTTAACAGAAACGTGTATACAGTTGTAAAGTCGATACATTATATAGAATACTCAACAGCTCAACAGTAGAATAGAAACGTCTTTTACAAATTGATGATCATGACATATCGGTGTAATCAGTTAGATCCATATTTCCTGAGTGGAACATGTACTGAAATGTGAATTTTATTTAGCAGGTAAGATAGTAATTAAACATAAAGTGTTTATCACAACAGCAAATACATTTAAAACGGTATTAGATCATTTATTTAATTATCGAAACAGTAAATTAGAATTGTCATTGATATTATTTTTTTTAATTTTGTTCAACTCTTGTCATAACGTTCAAATAGTTACACAGCAATATCTATATACACTCATCATAGATACAAGGATTGAAATTTTATACGCCAGACGCGCGTTTGGTCTACAAAAAACTCATCAGTGAAACTCGAATCAAAAAAGTTAAAAAGGCAAAATAAAGCGTAAAGTTGAAGAGCCTTGAGGACCCAAACTTCCAGAAAGTTTTGCCAAATGCAGCTACGGCAAACTATTTCTGGGGTAAAAAAGTTGTTAAGTTACAAAGTTTTGAATAGCTTTCCTGTCTTGATTTATCGAATCGAGATTTTTTTCCTCGTTTTAATTAAAGTTTATATACTGTATGAATCGATTCCCATGTATTTATTTTTCTCTTTTTGTGTGAATATTTCTATACCTCTTAACCAGATCCAAACAATCCGTTATGCACGTGAAGTGGTGGAAATATAATTTCTTTGTTTTAAACATTCCGATTTAATAATGCTGCGGTAATTTCTTTTTAAGTCGTATCAAACGTATCTTTTATATAAAGAACACAGTATAATATGTTTGAACAAGGAAGTATTAATATCAGGAGTGTACATGAGTCTTGGTATTATAAAATGTAATTGCTAAATATGCAAGTAGATGTAAACTAATAAAGACACAGCTATTACCAGGCGGGGTAATCATGGTAATGCAACGAATTAGCTATGTTCTGGTTTTTGTAAGTGGAAGTGTTAAGTATATTGATAATCACACTCTAGTTTGTCCACTTTGAATGATATATTTCAAAAAGAAAGAGAAAAGTATTTATACGTTTTCCTGTTGATATATGTTATTCTTTTGATAATGGTGCGACAGGCCAAACGTATCTACCATGCACCTTATCCACTCAAATCAATTTGAGGGTTTCCTCTTCAGCATACTCTCACTAAGCGTAATGGTTAAATATTATTCTATCTGACATCTGTAAGACACAAAATTTCTTCTTCTACAAAGCTTTGAACTTTTTAAGATGTCCAAAATTTGCTGTTATACAACTTATGCTTGCTGGTTTTTTTTCCAGAAAATTATATTGCAGGAATATTTTGATACACAAACATAAAGATATCTAGTATTTTCACTCCTAATTATCAATATGATATCTGTAATCGCTAATATCCCCATCCGTCGCATCTCAATCTTCAAACAAGACAACAAGATGTGCGATGATTGCCAATAATACAACTAAATATAGAAACAAAAACAAAAATGTGTACAATTACAAGTCACCGTACGTCCTTCACAATACGAAAACTCATAGTCAGCTTCAAAACTTCTCCGATTGACAAAATATATGCCATGACTAAAGAAAACAGATGGCCTGATGTATACTACAACAAGAAAAATATTATGACAGACTTCAACAAAAAACACCCCTGGATTATAGGTACGGAGCACGCACATATTGAATGTGATGGGGTTAAACGTTAGTGAGCTCTCAACCCGACAGTTATGTAACAGCTTAACTACAAATGAACAAATATATCAACTGGAATGTGCTTGACGCATCGCAACGTACTTAGAACAAACACATAATAGAAAAGGTATAAAATACCGACCTAAGAGTACTTACAGTCACTGAAGATAGTTTAAAGCCCAATCTCAACTAATAGATAAACCATTTTTCTTCTGAACTAAGGTATTAATCATGACACCTCAAACAGATAAAGTCTTTAGACGTCATGATTAGTCTTAAAACAACATGATCCCGTGCAATATAAACATACAAGTATCGACAGTATGTAATATCATAAGTGTTAATAGCTGGAAATCAGTACATGTTTAGTTATAGTTTAACTATTAAAAAAAAAACAATGACAGTACCGATAAAGACAATATTGAAAGATCCCATTGCAGTGTTAGATTGATAAGCTTTGAAAGTTTATCTAAAGCACCAATAAATGTATATAAATCGTTTTTTGATTTACGATTTTTATAAACAAAAAAACAAAAACATGGCCGTAAAATGTAGGATGGGATTTCCAGTTATAGGTACATCCAAGCTGTCAAAACAAATAATTGTATCTATGAGAGTTTTAATATAGATTTAAGGTTATCTGTTGTATCGAAATCACTGACATAAGAATCCATCAAAGATTGCGTTCTTTGAAATGTAAAACATCACTACAGACATAGTCAAAGCGAAAAAAAGGAAATATACACACCGTTAAAAGTTGACAAGGGAACATTCAAAAAATGGAAAATTACCAACAAGGAACAAGTTGCCTTTTTCTTTTTTAAACTTTAGTGGGGATACTTTTATTTAAGCCAAGTGTGAATAAAACTTCCTAGAGTTGAGAACATTTCATTACGCAATGAATCTAACATATCTGAAAATCTGAATATTTCCAATTTTTAATATGTATCTGGGGAGTAATTGTATCAAATCATTGAGTATTACTACTGACTTTGAATTTATGACATACATTTATCTGCCATGGCAAAGTGTTTAAATGATATATTACACTTAAACAATAAAAAGCAGATAATACAATGAAGACTCTCAAACACAGACACAGAATATTTAAAGGACTTTCAACAATGAAGTTTTATTTTTATTTTCATCTGCAAATTGAATTTCAAGTTATTGAAACTTTTGTCATAAAAGTAATCAAATACGTTGGAAACGTTCAATATAAATACCAAATTATCGAAATCCATTTTCAGAATTGAAACATTTTTTTTTTCTTTTTTACAATGAAACACAATTGAATATTAATGTAGTATTGTATGTTATTATTATGATTAGTTGTTGTGTAAACTTGTTAATTCATCTCGTGTTACTTGATAATGTATCTAAGCTTTGCTTATGTTGTTTCAAACAAATTATATTTTAAATAATTAATATCCTTATTTTCATGAAGCAGTTAAAACAATTGCAAAAAGTTATGATTTAAATTAGTGCGTATCAGGCAAATATCATAGAGATCAAAACGCACGTATATTTTCAGATTTTTCCCTCTCCCTTTTCCAATAAACTCTTCATGATATAATTGCCAATAATACACTTAATCTATTGAAAAGATCACGAGTTGGTTGAACATTATGGAATATCTGTTTCAGAGATGACAACGGAAGTGTTCCAATCGTCGTAACTACAATCCCGTCCTTCTTTCACCGGGTTTGTGCTAACATGAGCAACACAACGGGTGCCACATGTGGAGCAGGATCTGGTTATTCCTTCCGGAGCACATGAGATCACCCCCCGGTTATTGGTAGGGATCGTATTGCTCAGTCAATAGATTTCAATGTTGTGTTTTGTATACTGTTGTTTGTCTTTTGGTCTTTTTCTTTTTTTGCCATGGTGATGTTAGTTTTTTTTCTACTTATGAATGTGAATGTCCCTTCGGTATTTTTTGCCTCTCTGTTAGAAAAACAAAAGATTTGCAACAGAAAATGATTATGAAATTTAGCTGCTTATCTTTTTTAATATTTTTTTATATATTGATTCTTTCAGATAAACATACTTTGATTTCACTCTTGAACTTTTGATAGATGTATGGTTAGATTATTGTCACTTTATTAGTATTTGATTAAATAAAATTCAATGTAATAGAAGTGAAAGGAAAACGTAAGAGTTTCAGTCCGTTAGAATAACATAGTACTAACTAATCTTACACTTAATGATCTCTGAAGTATATTCTAGAATACTGGTAGCCATCATTAATTAGGATTACTGGATGAGATACCAATCACTCAATTACATGATATTTTTAAAGAGTTTGATACTATATTGTTTTGTAGTCCGTCCAATGACTGTGATTGAACAGTCTGTTGCCACCATAGGATGTTCTTTCGTATTGATAAACATGAAGATCTTCAAAAAAATTTCTAAAATTAAAATACTACAATAGATCTAGATTTTTTTTTAATTTTAGTAATTTTTCAAAAGTATATTCCATAACTAGCTCGTCCACAACCTTATCCCCCCTAATCTTTATGACAGAGAAACACCCAATATTTCGTATAGAATCCAACAAAACTATTTTTTTTAAATTATATATTTCAATAGTTATATATTATCAGCGCTTATGTAAATACATTGTTTATAAAATTAACAATTATTAGAATCACACATATTTTATACTACCCCACCCCATACATAAACAGCTAAGACCAGATTAGACACAACTTTTAGGAATATATGATTTTCAATGTTCTTAAACTTATTGATTTTGGCTTCCATCTGTTTTCATTTCCAAGCCACAGAGGAGAATCGTGAGGACGACACGCGGGTCTGGCGTAATGAATTATAAGACTGGTATCTTTGAAGAGTTTTAACAACCACTGGTCGATGCCACAGCTAGTGTATCTTCTCTTATAACAAGTCCAGTTGTCAGCACTTTTATGCTTGCATGAAATATCAGAGATACGTCATTCTCATTAAGTTTATTGTTAATAAAGTGTTAAAATTATACAAACTTTGAGTTTTTTCAACTCCCGGGCATATGTAGTCTTAGCCAGATTTTGGTAAATCGTTTTATAATTTTTGGTTTTGAATGCTCTTCAACGGCGTTATTGATTTGACCATCCATCATGTTTTGATTCAAACACTACTGGTCAGTCTTGTGCAGACAAACGAGGGTCTAACGTCCTTCTCATAATTCTCCGACTGATTTGACGTAGTTTAACTAAATCAGATGGAGGTGTACTGATTGAAATTTCGATGTGGGAAAACATTATCTTTTTATTAGCTGAAATTTTCTTGAACTAGGTTCTGTAACTGATTTTTAAAGTTTTTTTTTAACATTAACATGAGTACGCCACCTGTTATAGGCGATGAATTAGGGTGAGGATTGAACGCTCACAAAAACTCCTACTCCTTATTTGATTGTCTAAACCTACAAACATTGAT